AAGAACATGTAGCCGAAAAGATGTTTTGAGTTTTGATTTAGTCGGTTAAATTTGGATTATAGTTGGAACAACATGGCACTTCAACTTCTTCTGACCAAATACACCATACTTGGTATTCCAATTGAAATCATTTGGTTCTCCACAAGACTTGCTAAAGTTCGGTTAATATGTTTTGATTGAAAAGTGTAACCCTGTGGTTTTCTTATATACCTCTTGGTACTAAGCTATTCTCATGCAAACATCCTTTGTGTTATGCTCTTTCTTTTATGAGAAATTAATCTTGGACCCAAAATCATGGGATCAATTACGGGGACAAGTAATGTGTCTCTGCGGTAAATCATTGGTGTATGTTGGAATCCCAAGAAAGTGATACATATCACCTTGTCCCTGTACTTGGTCCATGAAATTTGCGTGCAAAAATTACTCTTCTTTTATCATATAATAACATACGGGCATTTCCTTGATACTTCAGATCGGGAGGCCAGTGGTATTTTCCCTGGCAGCCGAAGGCGAAGCTGGCGTTAGAAAAGTGCTTCAGATGCTCCGAGACGAGTTTGAACTCACAATGGCGCTCAGTGGATGCACTTCACTCAAAGAAATCACCCGAAACCACATTGTGACCCCCGCGGAGCAGAATCGCATTACTCCTAGGTTATAAATCTCACCCTCAAAACTCGGCGGTCTATTTGTGAAGGAGGGAATGTTTCGACCAGTTTCTAAGAGTTTATATATGGCTTTGAACTATTGAGTTATTGTGACAGTGATGAATAATATTTTTCATATGTTGCTACTGATAGTGCGTCCTGTATATATATATATATATATATATATATTTCTTTTTTTAATTAAATGAATTAAATATAAAATTCTTACTTAGTTACGAGTATGCCATGTGACTAAATGATATCACACAAACTGTTACACACAAACTATATCTCTCTCCGAAACACAACTAAAATTATATACTTAATGTTTTTATGTGATGTTGGTGTTGATGGTGCGTGCGTGCGTAGCGATGGTTGTATTGGCTAGTGAGTTGGTTAGTTGGTTGTTATTTTATTTTGTTGTGGGGCGTTCGTGCGTAGGGTCGTTGGTTATGTTGTTGGTTGGTGGGTGTTTTCGTCGTGGTGGTGGTGGTGGTGGTGATGATGATGGAGGGGGAGGGGGTGGGGGGTAGGAGTTTGGTTGGTTCGTGGGTGGGGTTGGGGGATTGTTATTGTGGTGGTGGTGGTGTTATTATTGTTGTGTTGTGGTGCCGCATGCAGATGTATTGTCGTGATTGTTATGTGCGTGCTTGATGTTGGGTTTGGTCGTGGTAGGGGAGGGGGAAGTGTGGGGATTGGGTTGAGCTGGGTACTCGTGCGTGCGTGTGTGCGTGTCGGTGGAGATAGGTACGAGTGCGTGCGTTGTTAAAAACATGTGCGTGCTTGCGTATAATACATAAATGTATGCCATGATACTCTCTCTGAATCATATAACATGTAAGAATATGCCATGATACTCTTTTATTGCTATACTTGCATGTTATGCCTTGTTGTTTTACAATTTGTTACTTTACTGTAAAATTCAGTTTTTGATGATGTACGTATTGCTCTATAACGTTTTATTTATTTTTTTAGGCTGGGACTTCTCGACAAGGTGGAGTTGGTGATGAGGATGAGGATGATGATGATCGGGACTGAGTTTATTTGTTTTAACATTAAAAACAATGGGTGTGCTGTATAAACATTTCTAATGTTGGGATATTTATTATGTTTTTAGTGAAATAATTGTTATATATGCGTGAAATATGTGTTATATGTGCTTGTATTGTGTAAATTTATTGTACAGGTTATTGTTGTGAATTATATTTTACAGGAATTTCTTATTTTTAAAAAAAAATTTAAAAAATTTCAGATTATTTTTAGCGACGGATATTCCGTCGCTAAAAGCTCTTTTAGCGACAGAAAACTGACACGCCAGATGTGCACTAAACCACTTTTAGCAACGGATTTTCCGTCGCAAATAAATATTGGCGACGGAAAATTATATAGCGACGGATTTTCCGTCGCTATAAATCCGTCGCCAAAAATTTATTTTGGCGACGGAAAATCCGTCGCCAAAAAGTTATTCTATAGCGACGGAAAATCCGTCGCTATATACCCGTCGCTATCAATTAGCGACGGATTTGCCGTCGCTAAAGGTAGATTTACCTACCCTTACAATAGTGACGAATTAGCGACGGATTTGCCGTCGCTAAAGGTAGATTTACCTACCCTTACAATAGTGACGGAGTTTTAGCGACGGAATTTATTTTTTTCCGTCGCTAAAACTTTTAGCGACGGATTTTGGACTTTTGGCGACGGATTTTTCCGTCGCCAATAGTCCCCTTTGCAGTAGTGCAAGCTGCAAGCACATTCTGTGTAACACCTTTGTGGCCTTGAAATCGTGCAACAAGGTTAATCGAAAGCATTGCATCAACATGAGTCTCATCTATCATACCAATGCAATCCTATAATACGTATCACACACCTAAGTTAAAATTTACTTTCATTGATTATACATATAAATGTGGTTAGTATAGCGAGTTGTTAACGATCTCTTGGGAAATGTCATTGGGGGCTTGTGTCATGTAGCGTCCACGCAGGCAAATAATTTCTTGTAATACCTTATTAAAATATCTACTAATTGTCTCCTCTGATCTTATAAAATGAGATCTGATAATGCGATTTTTAGATTTATGACCCAAAATGTTCAGTGTTATGATAAGTTGTTCTTCTACTATTACATTTCTTGAGTCTTTTAGCAGCCTTTTGTTCCTCATTGTACTTGCTAGTTTAACAAAAGTATCACTCCGTATTCTAATATAATTTACACAACTATCACTAAAACCATTATAAACACGCTCTATGTGTTTAACTCTAGCCCTCTCTTGTCTTTTTTTCTCACTTGGACCACTACGAATTGATTTACGTCTAGCTTGCATTATCCTTATGAATGTAATTATTATAACAAAATGGATAGTGCATCACCTTGAACCATATTAACAACACTTTGTTCATCAGTACAATCCCCATCACCATCCATCTACGATGCAAAAATTAAATTAAAATAATTAATATACCTCGCAAGCATTCATATGCAATGTCAATAATCAAAACTTCTATCAATTAAGAAGAAAATTAGCATTGGACAGTCAATAATCAAAACTTCTAGCAAAAGTTCAGGCATAGCTTTAGGCATATAAACTTATGATCATACACTATAATCAAATGGTGGTTGCAAACATGTGAACACAAATTTTATTACCCCATGAATGTTTTTTTCCTCTTAAGCATACAACTTTATCACTGCATCATCTTCTAAAAAAGACGTACACAGACAAACAAACCCAAAAGATACAGATAACTTCAGATAATATTTTTAGTTAATTTCAGATAATTTCAGTTAATTTAAGAACATGAAATTTTTAGATAATTATAGAAAATGCAAAATTTCATCATAATAATTCTAAATCATACGGAAGTTTTAAAAAATCAATTCTGAATTGAGATTAAATCATACCTTAGATCTGAAGTATAACAAGATTCGACAAGATCCAGCAAAAAATACGAAATTTCCTAATAAAGGCACCGCCTTTTTAGCAAGATCCAGCAAGAACAACGAATTTGAGGAACTAAGGCTTGATAAATATGAAAATCAAGCATAAAATCAACAGTTTAGAACTCCCGCAGGTATCGGAGAGAAATCATGACGCGAAGAGTGAAAAAAGCGAGGGAAAATGGTGGTGACCCTAGCCCTCAACAAGTTTTCCCCAAAAAAACGCAGATCTGACAAGAGTACAAAATTTCAGCGATTTTCTCTTGTTTCCGAAGGAATTGGGGGAAAGGCGAAGAGCTGAGGTGGAGGGGATTTCCGCGGATGGAGGGATGAGGGGAAGAAGCGAACCAAAACGGGGAAAAGAAAACCCTAGAACGGGTTTCGTCGAGGTAGCGCGGTTGTCGGAAGGAGGAAAGGGTTTTTTGCGACTTAAAAATGCGAACCAAACGGGCCCTGAGCATATAGTGCACATATTTATAATATTGTGCTTTCTACATGCGAGGATCTTAGCTCTGAATGCTTCGTACTTCCTCGAGAATGGAGAGGCTATTCTGTCACATCCATCAAGGCAACCTAGTTTCTCCGTCCCGTGGTTTTCATTCACAGTGCTCATCTGCCGCAAAGTGGCGATGGCAAGAGAAATGTTTTCTAATAATCGTAACAATTTGGAGCCATTGCCCAATAATTAGAACAGGAGAAACTATCTCGTAGTCCATGTCCACTGCAATTAAAAGGCGCACCAAATTCAATCCGTGAGGGATTAGGAGATTTTCTGCCTTTGGTGCACTATAGGTGCAATAGACGAGGACAAAGTGGATACTTCTCATCAAAACCCTGAAGACCGTCTAATCTCATTACCTATACTCCAGGAAAACTGCATATATAGATTCCACGGTGCCTGCTAAAATAGTGTTTGCTCAAGAAGTGAAGAAGTTGCAGGCCGAGCAGTTTAAGACTGAGGAGCAGGTCGTCGTCACCTTGCAGCCTCTTGAGCGAGACCATGCTTGCGTTGTCGGATGCCTAAGAAAGCAGAAGGCAGCGTCTGCTGCTTCATAAAAGTCAAGATTTCTCAACCCTTGGCAGCATAGGGAATATCAGGCTCTTTTCCATATGCCACTCTTCTGAGCTGTGGGTTTCTTTTTGTAGTTTTTAGGTACCTCATGTCCTTTTTTTCTTCTAAAAAGTTACTTTCATGGTTATTGTTTAAAGGAAAATTCTAATTAATTTTGTCTTTTTGGTAGTCTTCTCGATTGGTGTTTGTCATTTTGATGCTGTTATGTTTTTAGGTAGGACAAAATGATCAACTCCTTCTTCTACTATTGGTGAACTTTCAATTTCTCTTCTAAATTATCTAACTTCTCAAAATTATCAATTTTGCCTTTCCCCACCCCCTCCTTGAACCATATTTATAAGGAACCTTGTTATTTTGCCGCGTAGCCTATCTCGTGTGCCACATATAGGGGGTGGGACCTACAGCTGGATGTGGGTCCCACGCCCATGTTGTGGCACTCGAGATGGGCTGCGCGCCCATCTTGCGTGTCAAATGACATTTTCGATTTATAAGTCAAATGTGAGCATTTTGTGGGTCCACGGTTAAAAGTTTAATAGAGTAGTGATGTGACTTTTTTTTTATCTGTCTTATCTCCTTTTCCTCCAAACCAAAAACTACCCAACTATTTTTACCTGAAACTTTTTACCCTCTTAAATACTTAGCAAAGACAAACTTAATAAGTTCAAAATATTGTTTCCATCTTTTGCGACTACTAAAATTTTCATGTATTCTATTTCGATATAATTTTTGTCATTTTCTTTCTTTTTGTCTCTTTCATTACAGTAACAGGATTTTTTTGCATAAAAGAAAAAAAACTGAAAGTGCAAAACTGAGCACATTCAACAGGGCAATGATTCTCTACATTTCTCTACATTCTTGATTGTAGAGAACTTTTACAATTGGTTAGGTGAATTAATTTCATTAGCTTATTTAGTGGGTCCCATAATAAAATTTTTTATATAATTTATATAATGAATATTATTCATGACGTCCAATAAATGAGGAGTGTGATTGGTGAGTTGTAGAAGCTTTCTACACCTAAGGGTCTAGAGGATCTCTGCCCCTTTCGATATTTTGAAGTGTTTATTTTATTGATTGTGTATGTGAATATAAAATAAAAAGATTAGCTTTAAATTTAATGCATCTTTGGCTTCCTCTAAAAAAATATCAAAGTCGTTGTGAAAGTGAAAAAGCAGTTAGCACTCTTTAATTAAAAAATTATGTTTATTAATCATATATTCTAAGCAAAATAAATAAGATAATATTGCAAGTCATCTCTATTTTTCTAGTTCTAAAAAACATCAAAGCCATCGTGAAAATGGAAAAGTGGGTATTACTCTTTAATTAAAATAGTTTGATTATTAAGATATGATTAAAAATATAATATGATTTTAAACAAAATAAATGAAATAATATTACATGTCACCTCTATTTTTCTTGTGCTGAAAATAATTATTGCTGCAGATAAAATACTTCACTTGCTTGTGTTTGTTGGCCTTTTTGTTTTGTTAATGTTTAACAAACAATTTACTACTAATATTGTTTGTCTAGTGTTTGTATTTTTGTATTTATTATAGACAAACAATATGTTGGAGGATGGATGGACTAGAGCTTTCACGATCATATCTAATGGAGGTTGGCGGAATAGTGGAGTGAAACCTTACAATTTAAGTTGAAGATCCAAGTTCAAGTTTCATCCGCACAGTTTACCAAGTGGACCTATATCGAAGACCTATAGCTTGCGTAATCTAGTTTAGGAGTTTATATTATGTGTGTTTAATACTCTAAGCTTAATATCATATACACACACACATTTTATTGGTTTCTATGTGTGTGTGTGTGTGTGTATATATATATATATATATAGATGTTCTAATAAAAACCTAGAGAACTAAAAACCAATCCTAACCCTCCAATCTATCTAATCCAATGGCTTACATTTCGATGGTAGAATTGTAAATATAGATAAATTTAATACACATCAGCTGTAAAAAACAATGTGAAAAGGGTAAAATTGGAACAATTTACTATATTAATAGTGGCTGGCAACAT